AGGTTGCCCAATCTTCCTTCCGAGGAGTGGCTGGGGGGTTTGAACCGCCACCCTTCTGGTTAGCAGTCAAATGCCTTAGGCACTACACTATCAGAGCTCCTTAGTAAATCTGAAATTTCTCATTTATGTTGAGGAATACAACCATTTCCCTACTCACAGGTATACTGCTGGCATGTGACAGGCAATTCTCTTGCATGTTTCTCAGTGAGGAAACTTAATACAACTTAATACACTTGTGCTATCTTCCTTTCTTAGGTCCCATACAGCACTAGTTTGTAGTTTTGCAAGAAAATTTAAAGCTGCCATCATTCCTCTAACGACAAATATTTTACTTTTTATAAAATCAAATTTATGCCCTGCTGTTGATTCCATGTTTTTCTTCCTACACAGCATTTTGTTTCAATGCTGAATCACATTATAATCTTTCTAAAGATATTTTAACTGACAAACTCAATTGTGTGGTACCAAAAGTGTATATACATATATAGTTCAACTAGTTAAGACAGTAGGAATAGCAATGAACAAGTTCAAACATGGGCAGACAATGACAACTACATCACATCTGCTACTTGGATGATGGCAAATATATGGAGCATTTTGATGTCAAATGTGCAAATCAATGCCATATGGTATTCAAATTTTAAATAATTTACTAATCATTTACATTTTGTCTTGGAGGAAAGTCATATACATTCTAGTTTCCCCGCTCCCCTTGTCCAAGTAGCTGTGGTCATTAATACATCCAGAAAAATACACTCAGAGGGAAAAAAAAAAAACCACTTCTTCAGTTCCCTTTTTGAAAAGCTAGTGGGGTAGAGATTACATCTGAGGAGCTCTGGTACCATAGTGCCTAAGGCATCTGACTGCTAACCAGAAGGTTGCCGGTTCAAACCCACCAACCACTCCTTGGAAGGAAGGTTGGGCAATCTACTTCCATAGTGATACCGCCTAGGAAACCCAAGGAGGGGTCAATATGAGTCGGATCTGGAGGGGTCACTATGAGTCGGATCTGTCTTGAAGGCAATGAGTATGGTTTTGGTTTTTGGTTAGAGATTATATCTCCGTAAAATTAAGCTGTACAGCTCCAAGAACAATGTTCTACATGTTTAATTCAAATCCAAATTCCTTACTTTGTCATTTTAAAACCCTAACTTGCTCAACTTCCCCTACCATCTTACCTCAGAAATGCATTCTCTCATGTGCTGGAATTGTGAAAGAAATAAATAACAGACATTTTACTTTGACTATAAGGTGTTTTTTTCCCCTACACATGAAACCAAAAAATAACTACAAAAAAGCCTGATAAAAAAAGCTGCATTGCAGCATTGTAAATTTCTCTTTTACAGCTAGAAAAGGGTAGCCAATAATAAAACCATTACAATGTGATTTAATAAAATATGGTGAGCTTCTTCTATTACTCTGGTAGTGTAGTGACTAAGGCACTTGACTGCTAACCAGAAGACTGGCGGTTCAAACCCACCAGCCACTCCTCAGAAGGAAGATGGGGCAATCTACTTCTGTAGTGATACTGCCTCAGAAACCCAAGGAGGAGTCGCTATGAGTCGGGTCCGACTCGATGGCACATAACAACAAAAACAACAAAGGCTAAAGGAAGGTAGAAAGCCAAATCTTCAGGAATTACCTTTTTAATGCTAACTAAGTAACCAGTAGATACTTGGGTCAACATGGAAAGCTGTAGTCTTTAAGAAAAATAAATGTGTAAAGCTTCTGAGAACGCTCCAATCTTTGGGATCGGTTCTTTTTCATTTTCTAAATCATGTAGGGAAATTCCCTCCCTCAATTTGCAAATTATTTATCACATTATTCAACAATCAAGTATTATTTTATTATTACTGCTTTGCGCTAACGCAAAGGTTTTTTGTTTTTGTTTTTTAACAGTTTTAACTGGCCTACTTTGAGCCACTTGTTTTTGGAAGCAAAATGATCTCCCTGCCTGCATATGGAACGACTACTGGAAATGAAGCTATGTTTCAGTGTCTTTGCGTTTTGATGCATTCCCACAAACTCTGCTCCGTACTTCATTCTCCCCTTTTACCCTCCATGTTGAGTGAACAAATTAATCTGAATGAATGGGACTTGCTGCCTTCACTCAGTATTTCACAATACATGCTTCTCTAATTGTTTTCTGTTGTTGCTGGTAAAAATATACACAGCAGAACATACTCCAATTCAAGAAATTTCTACATGTACAATTCAATGACATTAACTACATTCTTTGAATTCTGCAACTACACTCATCCTCTCTTTCGAGTTGTTCCTCCCCCATTAATATAAATCACTGCCCCCTAAATTTCCTATCTAATCTTTCAATTTGCTGTTGTCAATTTGATCCCATATTTAAAAGTGCACAATGCTCAAGGCAGACATTTCTTACTAATTAAGCTAAACTACTGTTTGGTTTCAAGAAAACTCTAAAAAACCAAACCAAATCGACTGCCATCAAGTCGATTCCAACTCATAACGACTCCTACTGGGTTTCCAAGGCTATAAATCTGTACAAAAGTAGATTGCCTCATCTTCTTCCCATAGAGCAGCTGGTGGATTTGAACCACCAACCTTCTGTTTAGCAGCCAAATGCCTAACCCACTATGCCACCAAAGATTCTTAAGAAGACTCCAGGGGATATTTTCTATTTAATGTTTAAGGTTTACTGGTTATCTCAGGGCAATAGTTTCAGGGGTTCATCCAGGCTCCATGGCTCTAGTCCATAAGAATGGGTATTCTAACTGCTTTAATAATGAAAGTCTTGCTTCCCTAAAAGCAAGAATCATGCAACATATAGCTGTCTTCTTCGAATTACCCATAGCACAATGCTAATAATAACTATAACTAACTCTTACTGAATACCAACTTTAAGGTAGAAACTGTAGGTGTCTTACTTTTACATGTAAACCTTAAGCTTAAGAATTATTATTCCCACTGCACAAATTAGGAAACTAAGGTTTACAAAAGCCTATCTGTCACTAGATGTCTTAAATTAAAAGATAACCCAATAAAGCTCCAAGACCTTGTTTTTTTACAATGGGTTCTTAGATACTACACCAAATGCACAAACATCAATAGAAAAAAAAAAAAAAAAAAGATAAATAGGAGTGCATAAAAAGTAAAAACTTTAGTGCATCAAAGGACTTTACCAAGACAGTTAAGAGACAATCTATCAATGGGAGAAAATATTTAGTAACTGTATCTCTGATAAGGGTTTAATATCTAGAATATATTAAGAACTCCTACACCTAAACAACAAAAGACAAATAACAAAATGAAAAAATGGGCAAAGGACTTGAATAGACATTTCACCAAAGAAGATACACAAATGGCCACTAAGCGTGTGAAAAGATGTTCAGCCTCGTAAGTCATTAAGGAAATACAAAGTAAAACGACAATGAGATACTACGTCACATCCACTGGGAAGGCTATTATCAGGGAAAAGGAAAATAATAATGTTGGCAACGATGTGGAGAAATTGGAACCCTAGTGCACTGCTGGTGGGAAATATGTAAAATAGGGTAGCCTGTGGAAAACTGTTTAGCAGTTCCTCAATAAGGTAAACAAAGAATTAGCCAGCAATTCCACACCCAGGTATATACCCTAAAGACTTAAAAACAGCGATTCAAAGAGACACTTGTACACTAATGTTCACCACAGCACTATTCACAAGAGCTAACAAGTGGAAACAACCCAAATGTCCATGCATAGATGAATGTAAACACAAAATGTGGTACATATAATGGAATATGGGAGCTCTGGTAGCATAGTGGCTAAGACACTTGCCTGCTAACCAGACGGCTGGCGGTTCAAGCCCACCAGCCGCTCCTCGGAAGGAAGGTTAGGCAATCCTACTTCTGTAGTGATACTGGCTCGGAAACCCAAGGAGGGGTCGCTATGAGTTGGGTTTGACTCGACGGCCCATAACAACAAAACAACATAATGGAATATTAGTCATAAAGAAAAATGAAGTTCTGATACATGCTGCAACATGGATGAACCACGAAAATATTATGCGGAGTGAATTAAGACACAAAAGGTCAAGTATCGTATGATTTCACTTACATGAAATATCTAAATTAGGCAAATGCATAGAAACAAACGTTTCTTAGTGATTATCAGGGGCTGGAGGGTAGCAGGAGGTAGAGTATGGAGACATTGCTTAAGAAGTACTAATACTGGAGTTTGGAGTAATGAAAAGTTTGGCAATGGATAGTGGTGATGGTTGTACAACATGGTAAATATAATTAATGTCACTAAACTGTACACTTAAAAATAGTTGTTACTGATTGAATGTGTCCCCCCTAAAATATGTGTCACCTTGGCTAGGCCATGATTCTCAGTATTACTCCATTTTGTGATCTGATGTAATTATCCTACACTTTATAATGCCCTCTGCAGTGCAGTAAATTACTTAGTGTGGCTTTTCTACCCATAAGTCTTTGTAAACTCCAAGGTGGGATTTGCTGTGAGCAACTGAGGAGCTCCTGATTGCTGAAGCTGTCCACCTGGAGTATTTCTGTTGGGAGTGGCACAAAACAATGTTCTGGGAGGTGCCCACTCTCTCTCAGGTGCTTAGAG